GCCCTTGGTCTTGTTGATCACACTGAGCATGGTGTCGGCGGGCTGAGAAACAAGGGCGGCAGCGAAACCGGCAATGAGACCAGAGCCAAGGTTGATACCAGTCTTAGCACCATCGGAAACGGTGTTCTTGTCGACTTTGCGGTAAACAGCCTCAGCAACCTTCTCGTAGACGACGAACTTGGCCATGGTGTAGGGAATCCTGAAGTTTACCAATTAGAAATCATCAAGCGACTCCATCGGTCGAGAGTGATCGACTTACTGCTTGAAGAGGATAGGACCGAAACCAGAGTAGAAAGCACCGATACCCTCGTTCTTGAGGATCTTGCCGAAGCCGCTCATGAGACCGCTAGCGAAGGTAGGCTCAGAAACGAGACGAATACGAGTGGCCTCAAGAGGGCAAAGGGCGATATCAGCGAAGAATTCGGCGGCGGCGGAGGAAGCGAGGTAGACAGCGGTTCTGTTGTTGGAAGCAGTCTCGTAGCCGAGCTGGTTGATGCACTGCTGCTTGAAGAACTCATAACCACCGAACTTGAAAGCACCCTGAAGGAAGTAACCGGCAGCAGTAGGACCGAAACCAGTGAGGAGAGCGCCAGCACCCTCGTTGGCAATGACCTGTCTGAAGCCACCAATCATACCACGGTTGTAGGTGACAGGGTCAAGCTGGATTCTGGTCTTGACGCTGTATTGAGAAGAGATACATCAGTACTCAGTTGATGTACACCGCAAAGCGCGCCGGGGGGTTTCGGAACTATGGCGCAATCGATGCGATTTGGGGGCAGTGAGGCTGAACAGTAGGACCTACACATCGACAGGGGTGAGGGCTCCGTGAGTGACGGAGCAGCAGACAGCACCAGCGAAGGCGAATCTGGAGTAGAGCTGGAAGCTGCTCATCTGAGGGGCGGCAGGAGCCACCTTCTCGACGACGGCATCGATCTTGGGAGAACCGGTAGTGGGAGCAGCGGCGGACATTGTGAATTATGTGCGGTATCTATGCAGGTCTAAAATCTAAACAAGACAAGGGCGGGAGAAGGATGGAGAAAGAGGAATCCAGATAAGAGATGATGTGAGAGTGGGGATGGGGTATAAACAAAAGCAATTGAAGCTTTGCAGAGTTTGGAAAGGGAAAAGGGAAGAGAGGAGGAAGACATGAAACTGAAGGGAAAAGGATTTCACATCGGCGAGACTGGGGAGCACAGACTGGGCACTAGCGGCACCGATCCCGAAAACTTTTCGCGGGCCAATGCGGGCTTCGCTCGGCAGCACGAACACAGACTTGCCACCGTTAAACTCCGATCGCCCGGCCAACATCAAGAACTTTTTAAGTATCAGGGATCTCAGAGGCACAATCAGCAGACATATTTGAGCTTTCCAGTCAGACAGAAGATTTTGACACTTCGAGATATGTGCTCTTATCGAGATTACTCAATTCTATAGACCATATTGGTCGCATCCACAGAGTAAACTGTAGATCAAGGGAGACAGTTGCTCAGTTTGGCGGAATTCCTACAACTACAACAAAGTGTGACTTCCCAAGCACTCATTTCTTCAAAATTTGACTGGGGAAAAATAGCGATGTCGTCACTCGTCTCAATAACCAATATAACTATGCTCATGACGGCGCTCAAAGTGGATATCTGTCAAGACTGGAAGTCCACGATGGAGTCTATTTGAAACTCTGTGTGAGCCTGAGGCATGCATTCTTCAAAATCTTCAGTGACCGCCTGGATTCCACGAATCAGATGCACGGATTCTATGTCAGGGGCGGCCAAGAGTGAATTCGAGATTCCCTATTTCCTATTGGCTTGATTTCACTCGGATAAATGCCGTCTAGCCACCCACAGGCTCAATGCGGCTCAGGCACAAGGTTCTCGATCCAGGAAGGAAGGGCTTTAAATATATGTTATGCCTCAGGTATCAACTTACCACACTATCAGATTGTTCTCCTGACTTGTATCTATCAAATCCTGATGACGTTGTTCATCTTCGAAGCATCTCCTAATTTATAGCCCGAAGAGCACAAAAAAGGTATCAGGGCGCTGCCAACAACACATGAGTCATGACCTTCCATTTGTCTCAAGTCCACTTGCACAAATACCGTTTTCTGTTTGTTCTTATACCGTTGCGCTAAGACTATTTGACTGATGATGTCTTGAAACTTAGCGGCATTGACAAAATCTGAGTAATTGTCATGACCTATAAATAATTACCCTAATATTTCCACCTCATTATTGATGTCGATGCTGTGTTTTTCAAGAAACTGGGCCACATAATACCTTCAAAGAGTCACTCTATTTCCTCATCCGCCTTCAGATACATAAGCATTATATCGCGGCTGTCAACTCAGCTGCGCTTCTCAAGATTTGCTTTTCAATCCCTCCAGACCAGTCAATGCTTTCTTTTCTTTCTAGCTGCCTCCCGAGAAAAAGGAAGGAGACGCAGAGATGGAATGAAATCGAAGGTCTGCGTTCCTTTTTCTTCCTTTGCGATCTGATCTAACGCTGTATTAGAAGAAGCGAAGCGCCTGGATCAGCTCCCGTCCTGGGATGCACCAGACAATCTGCTTCTGATGCAAACTTTTGAATGGCATATGCCAGCTGATCAAGCTCACTGGCGCCGTCTACGACATATTCTACCGAGTCTCAAGGAGATCGGTGTCGACAACATATGGATACCCCCAGGGTGCAAGGGAATGGACCCTTCTGGAAATGGCTACGACGTATATGATCTATATGACTTGGGTGAATTCGACCAAAAAGGATCGCGAGCCACCAAATGGGGAACCAAGGAGGAGCTCCTGGAGCTTACCACAGCCGCTCGAGATCTCGGTGTTGGTGTTCATTGGGATGCTGTACTCAATCATAAAGCAGGCGCAGATTTCACAGAACGATTTTTGGCCGTCCAAGTAGACTCGGAAAGTATGTTTCCCTTCAGTGGAGAGGTTGGTTAACCAGATATCTGATATACCGCGTTAGGACGAGATATTGAGATTTCGCGCCCAAAGGAGATCGAGGGGTGGGTGGGGTTTGATTTCACAGGTCGCGGCGACCTCTATAGCTCGATGAAATATCGGTGGTGCCATTTCAATGGCGTTGACTGGGACGAATCGCAAAAGAAGAACGCTATCTACAAGATTGCAGGGCCGAACAAGGGTTGGGCTAACGATGTCAGCCACGAGTTCGGCAACTACGATTATCTGATGTTCGCAAATCTGGATTACTCTAATGATGAAGTCAGAAGAGATCTTCTCAACTGGGGCGAATGGATCGGCACTCAACTGCCTCTCAGTGGTATGAGGCTAGACGCTGCGAAACACATGTCGGCTGCTTTCCAGAGGGACTTTGTCGATCATGTTCGGAAGACTCTAGGACCTGATTTCTTCGTGATCTCGGAATACTGGCGCTGTGATCTCAGAGTTCTCCTGGATTTCCTGGAGACGATGGAACACCGAGTTCATCTCTATGATGCGGTATTGGTTGACCGATTCTCGAAAGTCTCCCTGACCAGTGAAGCGGACCTACGGGGAATCCTCGATGGTACCTTGGTCCAGAGCAAACCTCAACATGCCATTGTAAGTTCTCCTAGATGTGTTCTGACTGCTGTCCCCACTAACCGTCTAGACATTTGTCACAACTCATGATACAGTAAGAAATCAACTTCCATTCTCAGTGTCTTAACACCTATTGACCTATAGTAAAGCAACCAGGCCAAATGTTAGAGGTATGTATTCATTGTCACGGTCTACGTTGACTGTTCCATCCTGACGAATCGTAAATAGCTGCCGGTCGCATCTTTCTTCAAGCCATTAGCATATGCTCTGATCCTATTACAAAATAGAGGACAACCCTGTGTCTTCTGGGGTGATCTCTACGGGGTCAGAGGAGGCAAACATCCAACGAAGCGTTCGTGTGGAGGCAAGCTTCCGATTCTCACAAAAGCCCGTAAGCTCTACGCGTACGGAGAACAGCGGGATTATTTCGACGAGCGGAACTGCATCGGTGCGCACTGCCTCACTTCTGGCGCTCATTTTGGCCGTACTGACGGGACAAATAGGATTTATTCGTTACGGCAACCGGCGGCATCCCTCGGGTCTAGCTTGTATCATGAGCAACGCCGGCCTATCGCAGAAGCGCATGTTCGTTGGTCAGCAGCATGCCGGAGAGCAGTGGACGGATATACTCGAGTGGCATTCCGGAACAGTCACCATTGACAGTCGAGGATACGGCATATTTCCCGTATCGAAGATGAGCGTCAGTGTGTGGGTGAATGCCAGGGCAGAAGGAAGGGAAAGCCTCAATAGTCACTTGTACGTGTCTCCTTTGCACCAGTCGATTTTCTTGGAGATTTACTCACAATCTGGCTTACAGTGATACGGATGTGTACAAATATGGACGTTCTCGAAGATGATAGCTTTCTCGGCTTCAATCTTCACGGCGATTTGACAGACCACTGTGTTCCCTGTCGATCGTCGATCCAAATGCGAGAACAGAAAGGACATAATGCCATTCAGCATTGGTGAAGCGCCGAGTATGCTCCCAGAACTGTACTAGTATTGTATAATATTCGAATAGCCAGCATGTGTACCATACACCCTCCGTTAAAATTGGGCGTCTTTCACTCTACTGATGGTAGGGGAATATTGACTGTATATATGAGGCTCATTTGCCTCTATCAGATACATATTGAAGAGATTCGTCCTTGTAACAGGCGCCAGCGAGGTCATGAATGACACCAGTAAGCAAAGACACAGTCCTCGTCCTTGACTAGAATACTCTCACCCTTTCATCTGACATGTTTACCGCCTTTCCAGCCCTCGATAATAATCCATGGATACTGCTTCCACCATGATGCAACCCTCATTGCCATAAGCCGAGCCACGGGCAGATGATACCACGATGACATCGTTCCGAGAGCTGTGCTCTTATATTCATCAATCTTTCTGTGACTGCGTCTAATACAGACGAAAGAGAGTCAACAATACATACTAGTCCTATCTGCTCACCATGCCTCATTATCTGGTTCGTATCCTCGAGTCCGACAACAAAGCGAATAGGATGACGCTGATTCTTTAAAAACAGGTCAAGTTCCCGCCGCAGGTGACGGTAGGAAATAAAAAGGAGTACGTTCTGGAATCTGCATGGTAGCCTTGAGAGTGACTGACTCTACGCAGAGTTCTGAACGAGATTGAATCTCACGGTGGCTCTTTTGTGAGAGAGGAGCGGTTCCTCAAGGCATACGTGTAAGATACTGAATCTAGGTACTCTGTACTCTACGTGCAGACTTACAAGGCTACTCTGGCAGTTATGATATTCCAGAGGAGGATCTGGATTTGAATAAGTTTCGGACGAAGAATTACATGTTCTCTTTGGAGAGACAGGATTAGACGGAGGGACCTTGATAGCTACTCTCGTCGGAATAGAATGGTCGATATAGTCAACATGATATCATGATGACTTTCTGGTCTCGATACGTAGGGTTTTATATAAGACGTAGTTGTACTTGCCTCTGCCACTTATATTCTGGGAAAGAAGATGACTTTAGCGTCCATTTTCCGAGCCGATCACTGCAGAATGCCTTTACATACAGTGAGCTGTCCACGTTGGTCGAGTGCAGAGTCGGACCATGAGGACTGACGTATCCAGCTCGTTCTACAAGACCACATGAGTGAGTCGGATATCGATCGGTGAGCTCTTTCTTGTTCTCGATGTGACTATTTATCTGCGTCCCCCCTCACTGATGTCTACTTCTGCAGGATGAAATCGCTTATCGAATCCGCTGGGGGAAGAATCACAAAACAAGCCGACAATCGCATTAGGTGGGTGACTACATATTGACTCCTTGAACAATTTCTAGAAAGGATACTAACACAGAGATTCCGAAATAGTTTTGAGGTACCCGATCAGTTTGACCTACATTTGATAACCAAGCATCTGGATGTGGAGACGTTGTCGGATCATCCGTGACTCTACTCGGGCTTAAAGTGGATACAGAGCTTGGTGATTGCAATAGATAAATAAGACTGAATAGCGCTATAATTTGTTGGACCAATCGACTCTCAGTTTTAGTAGAATCATTGTATTTGACATCATCGTTGTCCGCATGGCTATGAAACGTGGCTGAGGGCTCAAGGTATTCAGCATTCATGTCTAGCCTAACCACTCCACTCCACGTCCAGTCAGCTTACAGGGGGAAGATCTCAAGGATCGGCATAATTAAATAATGATACACCAGTCAGGTAGCATCATGCATGGAGTCACTAAATATAGTCCTGTGCGCCTAGTGGTCTGTTCCTTTGTGACACGCTTTTAGCTGCAGAGATAGGCTCATCTCGCCGGTTTAGTGTCGAAGTGGCTGGTCCTTCAGTCTGTCTACAGAGTAGAAATCACTGGAATCAAGAGATATTAAGCCATATTAATATTGACGATCCCCCATTCAGAGCTTTTCAGTCTTTTTCTCTCCCCTCTTTCTCTCGTGCTCAATCTCAGTCAACGACTACTCCATATAATCATAATGTTTCGATAAGATACCCACGCTCGCTTGTTGTCGCTCGCTATTTCGCTTCTGCTACTGTTGATTCTGAGTTTGAAACCGTCAGATATAAGAGAATTTGGGATTAATGTCTCGCCGATAAAATGTCTTCTTCCCAGTATCAAGAGCTCTGGGTGTCGCAGGAACCCGTACAACCCGCGACTCGAGAGACCGACACTGTGCGATCGGTATGGCAATTCCCGGCGGCTATGGCATCGACGCTGTCGCTTGTTGGGTATGTACGAAACAAATAATGCTACGTGAATGTAGGGTCTGATAGTGTCTAGGTACTTGATGATTCCACTCGCACTTGAAAAGCCCGAAGACAACCCGCAGATCAACAAGACGGTCCTGACCATCGCCGCGATGGTCTTGATCGGCATCGCTTACGCGCTGTCTTTTGTGATCGTTTGCGCTCAGATCGACCAACGAGCCTATCTCCTCTACTCTGTCTTTCTGTATGCCCGCTCTTAAGAGGTGTAACAACGAACCAGACTACAGACTAACCAGACTCCCAGCCCCTGCCTCTCATCGAGCCTCTTCGGCCTCTTCAACCTCGTCTTCAACATCCTCTGCCGCAACATCCTCCCCATGAACAATCTGGCAACCATCGTGGTCAGCCTTTGCTGCGCCTTTGTGTTTCTCTACGCGCTAGGCGCACTGTGGATCTATGGACGGACCGTCGCGGACGAGACGCGCCTCCAGTACGGCTCTGGGAGCCCGATCCTACTCACCGAGGAGGAGATGCAGCGCCAGCAGCTTGTCCGATTACTGCAGCAGAATGGAAAGAAGAAGAGGTCTAGTGCGAAGGCGGTGCAAAAGACTTTCAAGGTTAATGTGCCGGAGGTCGTGAGTCCGGGGAAAGGGTGGGATCGGTATATGGCGCCGAGGGAGGATTATTTTATTTGATGGCGGAGGAGATGACGCTTGTCATGATCTCATGTGGACGAATGCATTATGTGAAGCTGATACGCGCAGGCACGGCTGATGATACATAGATCAGACACCGGCTATCTGCGCCAGAGTTGACATCTGACATACTGCAAGCTTTCTGGCTGCTGGCTGTCTAGCAGTTAGATGCAAGAGCTTGTGAATTGACGAGCGCAAGTCGCAAGTCCGCGGCTAGGTCGGCATGCGACATGTTGATTGAACTGCTTCAAAATAGATCGCATCTTGCTCGATGCTATATTTGCTACATATTTGTGGGCCGGTCGTGTCTGCCTGCTCTTGTGTAAATCTCATCGGATGGGCACATGTACTGAGAAATTCCGGCTAAAGCTCACTGCCATCGTCAGAAATGACCAGATGAGCCTTCTGATTTCAATCCTGCTGATCCCTCCAAATGAAGAAATATAGTCGGAGACTCGGACTTCAAACTCATGAAGGTTATAAGGGGCTTGTTAATGAAAATCATGATGTGGAGGTCGCCCTTCCCAGTATCCAGGCCGGCAACTGAACTGGCGGGTAGACAATAAATACGATGAGTTGTCTCTAGTACGTTATTAATGGCACCTGTGCTATGATGAGTGACTTCGTATCCGTACAGCCGAGCCTATTCCCTCGACGGACTGATTAGTGACGCCTATCGTCATCTGAAGTCGGCACATCCAGACAGTGGAGATACCTCGGCAATTTCCGAATCGGGAGACCCGTGCACCGCGTGAAGGACCGAGGACGCCGTCATCATCCGCTTCAAATGATCGCTCTTCTCCTTTTCTAAGTCCTTATCTTTTATCGCCAGATTGCAGCATACATTGAACCCTGAGAAATCAACATGGCGAAACGAGTGACATTGTTCGAACCCCCGCCACTGGATGAATCCAAGGCGCCGATCGAAAACGTTTTGGAGTTGACCCCAGTTGTTGACATCGGCCCCGTACGTCTCCCTTTCTTTCACGCCGCCATTAGACTTCTCAACAGGAATCATTTTCTGCTTTTCTTCCTATACTGACACGATCTAGGATGTCTTCACCAACACCCGCCCGCTCTGGCATCCCCCCGGCGCCCGCGGCATCTTCGGCGGCGCCGCCATCGCCCAGTCCCTCTCGGCCGCAATGCGAACGGTACCGACCGATTTCGCCGTCCACAGCATGCACTGCTACTTCGTTCTAGCGGGCGACTCCGAAATCCCCATCCTGTACCACGTCGAGCGAGTCCGCGACGGCCGCAGCTTCATCACACGCACCGTGCAAGCCCGGCAGCGCGGCCGACCCATCTTCACAACAACCCTGAGCTTCAGCCGGGCCAACAGTGGCGGCAAGAAGCGCCTCGAGCACGCCACGCCCAAGCCGAGCCTCGCCGATCCCGCCGAAGGAACCCGAGCCTCGCTGGAGGATAGCCGGGGGCCGTTCGAGACACACAAGGCGGGGACCGTCAACCGTAAGCAACTGCCTCCACTGCAATGAGGTGCTGGAACTGACGCTAACGCTGATGGACAGGCGACTCGCCCAACCCCGAGGACAAGCGCGTGCGACGGTTCGCGCGGGCCCGCGGCCGCATCTCCGAGGCGGGCGGGCACCAAGCGCACCTCTCCGCGCTGGCATACATCACCGACAGCTACTTCATCGGGACGGTGGCGCGGGTGCAGAACATCCCGCGGTTCTCGTCGCCGGCGGAGCTGCGGCGGGCGCTGCAGGCGCTCAAGAACCCGTCCGACCTGGACGACGAGGACATCGCGCGGGCGATCAAGGAGCTGAAGGAGGAGGAGGCGGCCGATCTGCGGCGGCGGCTGGAGGGGGCGCTGAGCGAGGCGACAAACCAAAAAAGCCAAGATCGGAAGGAGGTCGGGATGATGGTTAGTCTGGACCATTCGATCTACTTCCACAATCCGTGGGCGTTCCGGGCGGACGAGTGGATGCTCATGGAGATGGAGAGCCCGTGGGCGGGCGAGGGCCGGGGGCTGGCGATCCAGAAGATCTGGTCGCGGGATGGGACGCTGATTGCCACTTGCACACAGGAGGTACGTTGCACTCGCTAACCTTAGGGTTTGGGCTACTGCCTGCAAGAAAACGGCCGCTAATGCTTGTCTTGTCTTTCAGGGAGTGGTGCGATTAAAGCAGGACGAGCCTCCTCGTTCGAAGATCTAGCGGTAATCGACTAGACCTGTTTTCATTTCTTTCTTTCCTTTTCATTATTCACTATAATCTTGATAGACTCGACGGACACATCTGGCCCCTTTTGCTTCTGCTTTATACATACTACCTTTGTTGTACCTATTCATTTACCGGGTTTAGAGCCAGGAACAGTAGTATCAGTTTTGAGCGTATACAATGACACTATTTCAACAATTTCAATAGGATTGTCAATGCCTGGATGAATGAACGCTTTGTATTTGAGTTCAATGTTCAGAGCACGTTGCTTCAGCAGCGTTTGCTGACGGAACCCACGAACAAAAACCAAGGAGACAAGAGTAGGGTCTCCCTCAAAGTGTTGAACGCTTGCCTGTCGAATCATGGTAGTCGTCCATGATCGAGCAAAATTGGAAAGTAGAGCAGAAAGCCGACCCAGAAAGAAAACAGATGACGATGACGCTAAGAACTTTTGAAATCAGAGATAGCCGCCCACCGTTTACTTTTGCAGAAACGAAGAGAAATAAAAGAAATTGCGCTAATACTACAAAATCAAGAATCATACGTCCAATTTCTCCGACTCGAGGTGCTGCGGAAGTGACTGCGTGCGCTTTTCGCAAAATTCGAGGACCTTGGGTCCCCAGATCTCGCGGCCCTTGTACTCGCCCACGTAGTCGGGCCAGCTCTTGGTCTCCTTGGCGAGATTCTGGAGTTCCTGCATGGGCAGTTCGTCCAGCGTCGTTAGGAAGGTCTTGACGCCGAAGACGATGGTGCCTGTTTTCGGTAGGCGGCGGAAAGTCTGGCGCTCGCGGCGGATGACGATGTCTTCTGGTGCCGGGTCGGGGTTGTCCTCTGAGAGGGTCGTTGGGCGATAGAGAATCTCGAAGAGGGTCTCGTCGGGACGCTTGACCTCGACGAAGTAGTTGGATCGCTCCATTGGAGAAGTGGGTGTGAGACGAGCGAGGAATCTGTGAGAGTCAGCGTACCGTCTTTTCTCGAAATGACATTCGGGGCTACACACTTGCTAACAGAATTGGCAACCTGCTGATGCCACAGAGGCACAGGATTGTGAAGCTGGGATATCGTCCAACCGATACGTTCCTTGACTGTCCAGCCAACAGGGAAGAGACTGGCGCTGGCGGCTCTATTCGCGGTGGTCAGTCAGGTAGGCTATCAGCGCTGCATTTCACTTCGACTTACAGGTAATACTCGCCGTCGGCGTTCTGCATCAGAATGCTCAAGTCCTCCATGGTGAGCCGGACGGCGATTTCCAGAGGATCCACCTGCTTGTTCTCCCCTCCGAAGACGAAAGTTTCCCCCGTCATTCGATTGTGGATGGCCGACTCGTTCCCGGACTTCTTCCGCTCAAACACGTGCGGGAATCGCTGGCAGAGAAATTCAACCACTTCCTCCAGCGCCTCGAGACACGCATCGTACGACTCTGGCAGGCATTGGAGAACCTTTTCCCTCTCCTCTCGCAGCAGTCGACTCCGCACATGATGCTCGTCCATGTAATTCTTGTCGACGGTGAGCCAGTTCTCCACGTCCAGCTTCCGGATGTCCATCATGACCCGGTATCGCTCCCTTCCTCTGATGGGTTGGGCCGGGTAAGGCGCCATGCGCTTGACATCAGTGCAGCCTGCATGCTGGGCAGATTTCTGAAAGTATGATGCCAGCGGCCCTTTTCGTAGTTTAATGACGAGAAGGGGTATGAGGAGGATGAAGAGGACAGCCCATGACAAGCTATTCATTGCCTTTGACAATGGTACCACAATGCAGATTCAAGCACAATACCGAAACAAATTGTATAAGACAGAGATGGAAGAATGGAAGAAAAGGAAAGAAAAAGAGAACAGGAAGAAGGGGCACACTCTAAAGAGACTTTTGGTGTAATCTACACATCCAGGACGGACTCGACAGGGCAACACGGGCAATTAGACATGGTCGACCTCCACTCTCAATGGAGGGCAATGGCCTCAATTATAGTTGCCTGGACCCATGGAGCAGAAGAAGATCATCTTGGTCAGACGATTAACTTCCAGCGACTCGAGAGGGTCCAGCATTCCGGATTCAGGGAGCTGTGCAAGACTGGACTGGACTGGGAGATGATACGTTCAAGGCTTTCCCCGCAAAAGCCGCAATTCGCCGCCTTTGTAGAGAGAAATAGAACCTGACAGCATCCACATGATCAGCAGATGTATTAGGAGGTAGTAAGGAGAATATAGTGTAAGGTACCGTCACTACCTACTCAGCTCGCGCTGTGTAGCGTTGCCGTGCAATGACCAAGCAGGTAGGAAAAGCAAGCTCCACAGGATTCCTCCACAGGGAATCCTTAGTAAGGTAGAAAGTAAGCTAACGAGTGGGTACCTATACCATGGATAATGAATGGAGAGAAATGACTGGAGCGCGCCAGACAAAAAATCATGTCGAGATTTACCTTACTCCGTAGTCTCCCCGCCATACTTATTACTAGAGAGGTATCTACACATGTTGTCGAAGCTGCTGCTGAGACGAGACCCATAGTGAGGAGATTCAGACAATCTGAGGTCCACCGTGTACTCTGCCATATCCTCATTCATCTCATCCTGAAAGTAATCGGAATTACACACTGGTAGGTAAAGTCAGGTGCAGCTCACGCGGATACAGTCCGTGCGCCAGGTCCCAGACCCCGTGAGCTGAATGGAAAGCATCATGATGAGGATCCCCCTGCCTATCGAGGTCAGGTTTTGCGGCTCCATTCCAGCGGTATCCCGTCTCTTTCCCGACTGGAAATCACCACCGATGGTCGAGGCCGAAGAGGATCTCTAGCTATAGCACTTGGCAGGTATGTTGGTCATCACACGCATCGTCATACTACTACTGCCTACCACTAGCACTACATACATAGATAGAGAAGAAATGAAAAGCGTGGGATGCAGCGTGGACCAAACCCCGATTCGGAAGTCGGTGGTCAGTGGTCACACAGTTTCATCAACATTACCTATCTACACTTTTCAGGTGGCTGTGATTCGACATGATTCCCCCTGAGAATTCTGCTGGGGAATTCCCTCCGACTGGCTTTGTCAGTACTACTGTATACATCCACAAAGTCTACAGAGACTCTGACGTATATATGGGGTGGTTTCAGAGACGATCTTTGGCGACCCCCGCGGTGCTAGCCACTTACATCTAATATTTGATAAAAGGTAGGGATAATGATCACGCAGACTACCTGGCAGCGATCCACTTAGCGAGGAGTCCAGATCTATGATTTTCATTTTTGTCTTATGGTTATGGACCCATCCAGAGTTATTGAATTGAAACCCATCTTTCGTCAATAAATCATTTGCCAGGATACTTATATTATTACTACCCCGGTCCACTCTAATAATCTGGGGGTTGCGCTGCAACCGCCAGTACCAATCTCGCGCAAAGCGCGCTTCCCGCTATCCTCGCATTGTTTGGGTCGTGTGGAGCAGCTCAATACCTAGCTGGAGCCGGTCGAGGTTGAGGAGTGTTGAGGGTCGACTTTTGAGAATCACCAATTTTCATTTTATTCAGAGAGAGTTAATAATTTTGTGTGCGTTTTTTCTTTTTCATCCTCATTTTCATCTACAATTGCTTTTTCTGTAGCCTCGTAGAGGTACTCCGACACAATTGCTGCACAGTGCCAACTGCCAACGCCAACGCCAACAGACTTTTGCTCCTTTCCTGACCAGAGGCTTGACTACTGTAGGCTACCGAGCTAGTAACTACAGTAGCTCCAAGGAGAATCGATTCTCCTTGAACTCTAAAGATGAGCTGATCTGCTAGACGGGACTACTGTAAGTATCTAGTGCGGTATTGCTTTTTTGCCTACCCGCCAGCTTGTCACTGCTCACCGTTGTCAGTACTGGTGATAGCTACTTGGTACCTGAACCGAGCCCATGGAATAAGCATCATCTCCAGTTCATAAACCAAGGAACGACTATAAAAAGGGTCAAAAGGCCTTGTTAGTTGTCACTGAGACTCTGCTCTGGCCAGGCTCTACAATAACTCAGCAATGCTCCACCAACTACTTTAGTCAACCACTGAAGAGATCCCTCGTACAAAGCGAGCCCAAGAAATCTGACTGGTTAGTGGTTACTTAGCTCCTAGATAGCTCAAGGCTGTGCAAGCTGAAGATCCGCGCCCCAAGCCCAGGGCTGACTGTCCGTGCACTGCACCGACTGTGCCACTGCCAGTCTGCCACTACTACCCCATCTCATCGTCTCAATCATGGACTGATGATGCTCTGATAGTCTACACGGCATCGAGTCCTCGGCATCGCCATCGGCCATCTAAGTATCAAAAGCTACTTCGACTGGTAGAGGAGACACAAGTACTCGTAGACCATACCCGAAGAGACTTTCGTTATTGCATGCATATAACTTAATCTTCTCGCTTGGGCTCTCGCCTCCCCTCCCCTCCCCTCCCGGGGGGGAGATCATTTCTCACTCCTATGGGTCATTGCATCAGCTGACTTCCGTCATTGCTGACGCATCATTAAATCTAGACTAAGGTAGACTGTAGATGCAGGATGCACCACTACCTTGGCCTCCGCGGGCAGTCAGTCTGGATGCGAACGTGTGGCCGACACGTGCAGACGACAAGTAAGTCCGTGTCATGCAAGACAGGCAGGAGGTCACTCGACCACTGCTGCTAAATTCACCTACGGTATTATCTCATTATGTATGTCAATGCTCTAGCTGGCATCCACGTTTGTCAACGGCGTCTGCAGCGTGGCCTGGGTATCCCTGTTCCTTTTCTTGTGCAACCTGTCTGTCTACCCAAGATGGAGGGTTAGGCAGGACTCTAGGTACCCTTCTTTATACTGAACTCATTTTCATGGGAGGCTCAATCATATACTATATCGGGTTCAATTAAAGTCGTCAGGAATCATAGAGGTATCTAGGTAAGAAGAAAAACAAACAGGACATGACCACATCATATACCAGCATCAGAATCTTCCAAGTGGCTCCGCACATGCCATATAAAAGAGAAAGATATAGACTCCCCATCCATTCACAGCTGGATCATTCAAAACAGCCAATGGTTCTTATAGTCCGTCCGCGAGTAGCAAACTCGTATAATAAATCATTGCCATGACACGCAAGGATCCGTGCCATCCACCCTCGTGTCAAAATCATTTCGTTTCGATGAGCCATCTCGCTGATGCCATTTTTCATTTTGTTATTTTTTTTCTCCTAATGTTTACCGGAATTTGGCTCGGCATCGGCCCATGACCTCACCCTGGCAAACCAGTTCGGCACTGAACTCGCTACCGTCGAGCGTCAGGTAGATGTCAAAGTATACCCGGTAGAATGTGCCCTGCGGAGTGTCCATGCGCTCAAAGTCGGTCTCGAGATTCTTGCGTGACAGGTCCGACGTCAGGGTCACAACCTCTTTGATGCCTGTATCGTTCACGTCAGTCCACGTCACCGGTCACAATAAGAAACTCAAGCACTTACGCGGATCCTTGGTGTACTCTGGACAGACATCCTCGTCACAAGCGTACAGGATATCCTCGTACATCAGTGTTGCTCCCGGTGCCACCTGTCGGAAAAAGCTGACCTTGACCGGTTCGCCGATCTTGACTCGCTCGCCCTTTTGTACAAAGATCTGCCGTGTGTACTTGCACCGGTCTCTACCGTCCAAACTGGGAACACGGTATTGTTCCGGGTGATAGCCTTCCTTGAACGGTTGGAGAGTGGCCATGAGGTAGTGCCGACGCGCCACTCGGTGGGTGATCACTCGTTCTGTGATACCGGCGGTCACGGCTCCTTTGACAATCGCGGCAACAGAGTCCATGGGTCGCACCACCTTGGACTGATACTGCGGCGGTACATGGAGCTTGATCTGCTGGAACAGATATTCAGAGGCACCGAATCCGCCGACCACGAGAACGTTCTGCCAAATCGTCAGTGGGAATTTAACATTATCGCAGAGACAAACCTACCTGGAGCGATCGATTCTGCGCTTGAATCGCGATGATCTGATTCCGAACCAACTCGAGAATACGGTTGACGACAGGCTCGAAACATTGAAGGATTTCCTCATTGGTAAACGTCATGTACCCCTCTTCGATGCCAGCCTCGGGAAAGTCTGCTTCGATACCAACATCCACGGCCCACTTCTGGCCATTGTTGCGGAAATCGGCCTTGATCCGGTTCTCAAAGTCCATAATGCACTTTGCATACACCTTTCCCGCGGTTCTCGAACCGTCGGGCAACTTCATCTTGCGAATCTTGGCCCGCAGGATGTTGCTGAAATTCCGGTTCAGAGCCGTCGAACCGCACGAATCTCCCGATCCCGCCGTACACTCAGCCACGCTGAATGGCTGCTCCTCTTCGACCTCGTACGCGATCAGATCCACTGTTCCTCCACCGCAGTCAACGATCAGAATCGCATCCCCGACCTTGAGCTGAAGTAGACCGGTCTTCGCGCAGAACAGTGCGGCAGCCTCGGGCTCCGAGATCAACGTCAGGCGGTTATCGTTCTCATCGCGCAGAAATCCAGCCTGCAGGGCCGCCGCCCTGGTTGCTGCCTTCCCAGCATCATTCCAGATCGCAGGCACGGTGAGATAGTATCGGATATTGCGCTCTTCTCGAGTAAACACCTCACCTAGGGTCTTCTGTAATTGCGCCCGCATCGCTTGTCGCAACTTAAAGAGGTAATCGGCTGCAACATCGATCTCCGATTTGCCGGGAGGAAGAGGTGGAAGGTTGATGGGATCGATATAAGTATTGCCGGAGAGCATGAGCTGTAATTTGAACCATTCGACCTTTTGCACGCCGGGCTTCGGGTAACCAGTGGGTGCCAGAGCCTCCGCAATATCCGGGCCCCAGCCTACCACCTTCTGATATTGATCGTAGTACAAGACGGTGGGAATCTAGATCAATTCAAACAGTCAGAAACAATAAGCGCCACGCGATGTCTTCGCAGGTTTCTAAGCGCCCACCTTTTGCTTGGTATGCGTTCCTGCTCCGGGCCATTCTGTAATGATATCCTCCCGAGCCTCATTGTTGGTCGCAAATGCGAAAGCGACACCCGAGAATGTTGTACCAAAGTCAATACCAACGATCAGTTGTGCCTTGCTCCGACCAGCACCCTCGACCTCGACTGCGGGGTTCCGTACGTTATACTGGGGCTGCGGCAACGAAGGAGGGATTCCATGTGGAACAGGTTGCTGCAACGGATATCCAGGCGGAGCGCCCATGGGCTGAACAGGCTGGTGCCCGTACTGCACGTTGGTGTTCAGCGGGGGCGGGTGATGAGCCAACTGTTGACCGGGCGGCATGGGGCTGGTTGGCCGCCCCGCGGTGTTGTAAGTATAACTCGGAGGGCGACCCAACGTATTCTGATTGTTCATGGGGAGACTGGTCGAAGAGGAACTATGGCCAGAAGGCGGAGAGCTGGGGGAAGTGGCGGTTGAAGGCGGGGCGACGAGAGTGTGGGTGGACGGGCTGGGACTGGCGACCTGGGTAGCGGAGACGGAGACGCCGCTATTGTTCTTATTGCGTTTGAAGCCGAAGGATTTAAATCGTGAGCTCATCAGGTCCATGTGAAATGACCTGTGACGGAGGCAACCCGACAAGAAGAGACAAGAGGGAGTTCAGGAGGAGGACGAGGGAGAGGGAGAAGGGGCGGGGAGAGAGGGGGGAAGAGGAAAACAATGAAAGAGACCGAGTCAGCCGATGATGGAGAAAGAGGAAAGCCAGTGCTTGCAAAGGGCGGATGAAACAAACAACTCCTTTGTTTGAAGAATTTTTTAGCTTTCTAATCTGGATAGGTTAGGCAGAATTTGGGTGGAGGAAGAGGAAGAATGATAGTGATGGAGGAACACGAGCCAGGCTGGATGAATGGAATCAAGGGATCAACTGTCGTGATTTCGTTTGCATGGGGCAAGGCTGACACTTTGGAGGCGTCACAGAAGACCTGACGTGCTGGATCATCAAGATTAACCGAGTCGATAGGCTTCAATCAATATTGATCAAGCCGTAAATTGAAAGTGACTATTATGAATTGATGAGAGAAGATGCGAATGGATGCTTATTGTTACTGACTTGGCTTATGGCTACAGCACTTGGTCAGCAACACAGCAGTTACCAATATGTCCTCTGCAATGCCACTGTTTCTAACTTCGGCGTTGGTCTGGAGTTTGAAGATATCGAGTCTTTTTGTTTGATAATTAATACTTTCTATCTTTAGTATCTCTTTTGCAATCGAGGGCATGCGATTGACAGAGAGTTGCTAAGCCATGTTCCTTCCCTTTGTTTGTCTGGTTTGTCTGCGGCTGAATCCTGTCTCTGTACGCATGTTGTGTTTCGTATTGTATGATACCGTGTACAGGTGACCAGATTTTCGAGTCTCAACGCTCAAGCACTCAATAGGTAATCCTGCTGTGCATACTGCGATGTACCTTGCTATCAATGTTGTATTTTTGATGCGAGTCAGCAATCTGACAGTGGTGAGCAGCAATAGGCCGACCCTTGACCTCGTGTTAGATCGCAAGGCGGATTTCTATAATCCATTCAACAGCGTTATGAAGAATTCCTCTTTCATTACTTTAATTTTTACTTCCTGTCTTGCGCGCTACCCAATGCGATGGCTGGTAAAGGTTCTGCAGCATACTGCCCGGATCCTGAATATAACCACACATGGGCCGGTTTTCCACCGGCTGCCGTTTCTCGATGCTGAAGCCCATTCGCTCGACAAGGCAAAACACCTCTTCTTCTGTCAATTCCACATTCCCTGGCTCTCCAATGCCCTGAGATTGATCACTTCCACTGCCCTGGCCCTTATTACTGCCATCCTCAAAGTGCCACAGTAAGGGTCCAAGATTGATCCAAAGACCGTTGGGCTTGAGGCAATGTTGGATGGTTTCGATGTAGCGAATGAGATTCGGGGCCGTGTCAATGAAGAAAACGGTAGCCACGGCATCGAACGCCTCTTTGTTTGAGGGATTGTTGTAGAGCACGACGAAATCCGCCGCGGACATGCTCATTGTTCCAAATGGCGACGCGTCCCCGGCTTGAGCCTCCATCATCGCTGTCGCAGGGTGCTTGTCCGGGATCATGACTTTCTGTAGCTGCTGTTCGCGCGACAGGAGGTTGGAGAAGTGCAGCGCGAACGGGTACAAGGCGTGCTGCTGAGGACCGCGGGTGTGGTTTAGAACCCAGCTGCTGGCCAGCAGCTGGTGATAGGAGATCTCATTGCCTTCTGCAGCGAACCCTGCTTGACAGATCTCGAACACCAGTCTCCCCAGACCAGCACCCGGGACGAGCACTCGGATCTCATCCTCGGCAGAGTGCCGGGGTTGGAACTCGACGCGCAGATCACGGAGAACAGGCTCGTAGCATACCTCTCTCTCCGCTCTTCCCTCGGCGCTCCAGTCACGGTAGAACTGACGGATAGTTGAGTGCGCCTTGTTCACATCTGAAGACGTGGCCGTACCGTGCCAGTTCTGCCGTGGATCATTGGGATCCGGCTCGGCTGGCAGGCCGAACGAGGCGAGGCCTGTCGCGAGAATCGAGTCCGCGATGTCAGCATTGACATCAATAGCGTCATCCACGCAGTTGAAGTTGTCTAACAGGGAGAACGGTGGCTCTGCCAGCATCTGCCAGTGCGACGATGGGAGAGCATAGAACGCTTGCCGGCGGCGATGTGTAGTGTTCATATGTGCTGTTCTCCGATATTGCCTGGTCCACGTCAGCGATTATTGTTATAAAATAGCAGTAAGACATCTTGATGGAAGATCAAAGCCATAGCATCTCGAATCGAGATGATCACGAATTCTGGCGACCTCTGGATAGCCTCACACACCTGAAAGAATCCAACGTAGCAAAGAGAACCCGCCGTTCTTCGGGGTCTGCCAGGGGATCAAAATCCCCCGACCAGCTTCGAACGTCTTCCGAGTCATCAACATGATCATTTTGCTGCAGTTCGGTTGCCATTGTGGCCGAAATGGTGTCGAGGTGGTCGTCTCTGAACTGGCTCCCGATTGCGCAAACCTCCAGAAGCACAATAACTATTTCAATGAGGCTTCAATGCATTTTCTAGCTCTAGTAACATATACAACTGACATGCGCTGTCGGTATATCCAGAGTTTGGAAGAACCCTCTTCGCGCTGCAGTCCGCAGTGGTGAAATACGTGGACCCGCTCTGTTTGGCGGGGAAACATCCAGAAAGCGGTGCTTCATATACGGTGATTGTCACCACAAACATCACCCTTCTTATATCTATTCCTATAAATTAGCCAGATACACACCATACTCATCCAAATCGCAGGAGATATCTTTGGTCTGATATATTCAAGTCGCAAGAATACGCCTCGGACTCCCAACATGACAACAGCACGGCCGGTCGCACCACAGCCTGAGCTTGTCTCTCCGGTCTACAAACCACAAGAGATCTCCTTCCCACTACCAAAAGCACTCCATACAACCGCACATATCCATTTGACCATCCTAGAGACATGCGCCACAGTATTCCTGGCTACAACGACACCAGGAGAGCCCGGAGGCTCGCTGAAGCCGATGGGGAGTTTCATCTACGCCATGCCTGATGTAAGTTTTTCCCCCGATTCAGATATTAATCCATATTCTGTCGGCATTTGTTTCAAACGACGATATGCATCTTATCATGTTCGAGTAAGTCGATGACGTATGACAGCGCTATTCCCCCCGTTCGGTCATATCAACTGTGCTATACTCCTCCCCCTCGACGGAGGAATATACGTCCCGAGTCGCCAAGATCCTGGCCCGACGGATGAACGTCCCTGTCTACGTGGGCTGTAGCATCGACCCTCGGGCCCTCGAGTTGGCCGTTGAGGAGGAGATGGAGGGATTGAGTAAGTTGGTGGAGGTGATTATGGATAGGTGGGAGAAGAGGAAGAATCAATCCAAAATAGCTGGATGATATCTCCGGTCGCTGTCCGTCTGCAATCTGCATTTTTGGATTTCCATGATAAGATTGCATGCTACTAATGCTGCCTTATGTGGCACGCATATGGGGCTCGTCTCACAGTTCTAACCGAGGGTGAGCGGTGAGTGGTGACTGTCAGTGGTCAGTTGGTCACTATCTACTGTCTCCTGTTGAGACTCGAAACCGAGGAATGGTCTAATCTCCGTATTGCCGTATCAATAATCCGCAGTGAAACACGATCTCCATCAGGCTGAATCATAATATATTCAAATATTAATTTGTTTCGGAGTCCACTTTCTCCAGATGATGATAATCAAGGTTAGCGGGCATCGGTTGTGATCAGCCTATCTAAATCTGGGTTAGTAGTGAGTAGATTCAATATCACTGTTTCGGATAATCGTCCTTTGAATGAGATGGCCCGCTCCGGAGCTACTGCTGCCTGCTTTCCGAGTTCCGATAGGGCTTTGCACTCTCAGCTCCGTAAACATGAGACACATTTGCTGGGATCCAGTCTAGCCGTCAAGTTGTTTTGCGATTCGGAGCGAACGACAGGTCGGATTAGTGCTGGGATTGGCCTGATGTAAGGGATGGTTGTATGATGTTGACGCGGCATGACATGGATGGGCCACGGAATGGCACGCCATCGGCCAACCATGGAGTGTCATTCATGGAATCGAAGGATGACATTGTCACCCTGTACAGTGCATATGTCCAAAAGAAGTGAATCGGACATGGGCTGATGGAACACAAGAAGCCGATTCGGCAACGATTCCGAAGAGCCAAGCCTTCAGGGATCAGGTAGTGGATCTCTGTCTCATATGCTAGGGAATTAAGTAATCATCAACTCGACGACTTACGCGAGGACGGCCGACCTGGCCCCCTGGCGAACAATTAGCTACCAAGTCGGCTAGTATCATCTCTGAGACCCCGAGTATGCTGCACTTTTGTTGTCTAAGCGAGGTGCGTAGCGTAGTGTCTCTTGGTCAAATGTCAAGCTCAAATGAGAGATGGAGAAGGCGCCACGAATAGGTATTGAGATACCAACCGTCGCGTGACCAATGGACGTCAAGTAACTGACAACAGTCAATGTAATTTGACTGTCAGTCGATAGATAGAGTAAACACAGCAATGTCCTGAAAATATATCCTTTACGAGGAATAGTAATTAGCACAATCTATGAATCTCGGACCTCGAGGGCCAAAGCCCAAAAGCCACAGCTCGAAAGGCCAATGCATAACCACGTGGACCGTTGAGTTCAGGGGATTCCAGGCGATGGCCGCATCTGTGGACAAAGGATCATAAGACCGAGGTTTACGGCAAGGATGAAAAGCGCAAACAAGGGAAGTTGAATCTGTTGAATTCAAAGAGTCAGGGACAAGCCCCTTTCTTGACCACTCGGAAATCTCCGAGTGCTGCACTTGGCTCTACCGTCTACCATGAAGGATGAAGGATCTAGACTATCTGTCGGAATTACTGTTTGATCTCCAATAACTCATATCCGAGATTTTAAGAAATAAATTATTATTATTATTATTGAAATTGGGATGACGAAAACTGCTCACCCTTTCGGCTTCCCCAACACGCCGTCATTCAAGTGGATTCGTAGCACTCCGTACCTGCGAATTGGTGCTCAGCGGT